GGGGGGTAGGGGAGCGAATGAAGTGAGGGGTAAAGACTTAGAAAAAAAAAACTTACCAGGAGAAAGTGACGAAGAATCTCATCACTCTCGGCAACACTGAAATCGGCTCCCGTAACAGCCAACCTCCTCGGCCGGTTATCGAGCGAATACTGAGCATACGAAGCGTGTCTAGCGCCGACATCCAGAGGACCGACTGCAGCGACGTGGCCACCGCCCCTACCGCCGCGCCAGCTGGTACTGGTAGCACCCCTCGAGGCAGCACCGCCGCGACCTCTCCAACCCCCGCGGGACGGATAGTGGGGGTGAGCCGGACGGTCATTGTCGTCGTCTGCGGCGTTGGGATCGATGCCCAGCATCTTGGCCTCGTGCTCCAGATCGGCCAGCTTGGCTAGCAGCATGTCTGTCGTGCCGCCACCGCCCGCACCGCCGGTCTGGCCGTTGGCGGTGCCGTTCTTCTCCCTGAGTTTCCTGTGCAGCTTCGCGGCCTCCTGTCGGTGACGGTCCATGAGGTCCTGCTGCTTCCTCTCCAGCTCGATCCTCTGCCTCTCAATCTCCAGACGCTTCTCCTCCCTCTGGACGTGCTGTCTCTGCGCCTCTTCCTGTCTTCTCTTGAACTCCTCGGGGTCCATCTCCGGCTCTTCCGACCTTTCTTGTTGTGGCTGCTTCTCTGCTGTTGCTGCTGCTGTGGACGATGGTGTCGCCCTGTTGTTGTTGTTGTTGTTGTTGTTGTTTCTGTCCTCCATCTCAACGCCGTCCTTGTACCAGAATACCTTGACGAAGCGATTGTCAAAGATGACCTTGGGAGACTGGTAAGCCGCGTTGGCGGAGCTCCACCGGTCGTACTTTACGACGGCCAGGTGCTTGTACGCGCGCATGGACACGTCCACCACGTTGCCAAACTGCGAGAAGAAGCCGCGCACCTGCTCCTCGGAAAAGTTCTCCTCCGGGATGTTCTCCACCACGATGGTGCTCCTTGTCCGGTCATGCACGGGTCCCTCGGCCGAGAAGGCAGCCCTTCCTCCGCTGCCACTGCCGCCGCCGCCACCTCCTCTCCTGCCGCCGCCGCCCTTACCTCTGCGATTGTTGCCGTTCCGCCCTGAACCGCCAGCTAACTGTGCCGCGAAAGCGGCGGCGGCGGCGGCGGCGGCGGCGGCGGCAGTGGGATCCTCCATGTCCATTGGCATGGATGCACCCGGGTCCGTCGGTCCGTGCTCGAACATGCATGTGCTCGCCCGCTCGCAGTACCCCTTCGTATCGAAGTCGCGGCACCGCCTGTTGCGCTTACCGCCGCGTCCCCCCCGTCCGCGACCTCCGCCGGGAAGCGGTGGGAATGGAGGCAGCCCCGGAAACGGCGGTATGCCCATGCTGCTGAAGAATGCCGCCATGGGATTGTTCTCCGGGTCGTACGGCGACGGCATGCCAGCGTTGAACTCGATCCCTCCCGGTGGTGGCGGCGGCGGAGGTGGCGGCGGTAGAGATGACTGCTCCGGCTGTCTTCGGGGCTGTTTCGTCGGTCGTTGGTGCTGATAGTCCGCATACGTGATCGTTTCATTCGCTGCGCCGCCCGGCGCGTCGACATCCCTGTATCCTCGTTTCCTCGGCATGGGCGCCTGCTGCTGCTGCTGCTGCTGCTGCTGCTGCTGCTGTCGATGACGATTGTTGCCGTTGCCGTTGCCGTTGCCGTTGCTGTGCATGGGCTTCGAGGGAAGAGCAGCGGCAGATGGTAGCTTTGGAGGCGGCGGCGCCCCGGGGACGTAGGACTTGTAGATGATGGCCTGGAAGACATCGTCGAGGAAGGCCTTGGGGTCCTCGGTCAGGAAGTCGAGGATCTCTGCCTCGCACAGCTTGCGCACCTCGTCACGGGTGCCGTCGTGCTTGAGGAGAGCGATGATGTACTCGGCCAGCACCTCGGCGTCCGCATCCGACGTGTCCTCTAGCCGGCGCACGATCCACTCCTTGAGCAGCGGCGCGTCTTCCTCCGGGAAGAGCATGTTGGTCGAGCCTCGGCTGCGACGCGACGGTGCACACGACGCGCGCTTCAGCTCCGCTCTATGGTCTCTGGCAAAGGATCGCTTGCGAGTGTGTGGGATCTGCCTGTTTCGGTCACGATGGTTTCAGACATGGACAGCCCGCCGCGTCGTCGCTTTCGTCGTTGCCCTCGACGTTATCAGGCCCCAAGAAACGGGAGGGAGGAGATGGCTGTGTCGGCAGAATGTTGTAATACAGGTGATGCAGAGTGTTCCTCCTCCCTACAATATTTTTTTTTTGTCGGGATCCGGCATCCCCATATTATTAATCATACTAACCTATCGTATCACACAAAAGCGACACACAGCTCTCCATTCAAGGACCCAAACACCGTCAAGATAGAAACGAATGATAATATCAATATGCGTTTGTAGCCATGTTTGATTCAGGTATCTGGCTGTTCAGTCTTCCTTACTCGACCCTCCCACAAGCTCCATCCGCCCACAAGCTCTATCCGCTCTTCAGTTGGAACGATGCTTCCTTGCTACCACTATAATGACACGCTGCTCTCCTCCTACTCACTCTGTAATACGTAGTAATAAGCCGACCCACCTACTAACGGATCGCCCCCCCCCCCTCTTCCCATCACCTTCCTCAACCTTCAACATTCCAAACGCTATTATCCCTTTCTCGCGTTTTCTCGCGCATCTTATCACTGTACAACTTAAAAAAAGATACCAAAGTCATCTACGATGCCTCCCTATTCCGAGGGCACTATTCTTTCTGCCCTCGGTGATATTAACTCTGGCGTTTCAACGCGTCAAGCCTCCAGACGCTGGAGCATCCCCCTCACGACCTTATATCCCACCAGCCCACCGATACATTACAGACGAGTCAGGCCTCGCGGCCAGCTTCAGGGACAGCGGATTCGTGCGCGGATCGGCCGAGAAGAGATGTGCCCTCGAGAAGCAGGGTAGAATGCAGTCTTGGTATACAATCGTGGAGTGTATCTCGGCAGATGGCCGGGCCCTACCAGCTGGGTCGGCTTGATACTAATCTGTACTTACCATTATAGCAGTGAACCACTGCAGAGCCGAGACACCAGCGACGATACCATGCATCCGACTACACCATCGCGCATCCAGCATCAGCCTGGAGCGATGCATGGCCAACACAACACATGTAATACTCGAGGAAGGCATCGTAATTAAAACTGAATATCATCATTCTTTCGTGTTCCACGACTGGCATCACTACATAAAAAGCACCAAGAAAACAAGTTCCCGTTTGTGGCCTAAGCTCAGCCTTCCTGAGTCATAAAAAAGAATGTTATTCTTCTTCTCTTCTACGTTGGCTGGCTAATCATCCTTTAGCAGCAGGACCGCCCTCCGCTCCACAGTCACCATGTAACGGGAGTCGGTACTTACTCTCCACCGGGGGACCCTCGGCCTCAGATAAGACTCAGTCCCACGTTGGCGAGAAGTCTGCCGAGGCGGTGTGTCGGGCCCGACACTGTCGCAGATTCCATCGGCGCACGGAGGCGCCTACAGCTTGTCGTAGTACTAGAGAAGGATGGCACATTAGACACTGGTATCCTGCAGGGAGTGGGAAGAGTCGAGCGGAAGAGTGGAAGAACTGGGGCATGGAAACTTACGTTCTCGACACCGGGCACCTCGACCTTGATACCCTTGCGCTTGCGCATCTCGGTGACGATAGCACCAGTCTTGGAAGAGGAGTCCAGGGGAGAGCCGCCGGGCAGGACCTGCCAGTGGTCGAAGACGGACTGGGGGAAGGCCTGGCCAGAGGTGGCGGCACGGAGGTCGCCGTTGAAGCCGAACGACTCCAGGACGGGGAGGTAGGCCTTGATGTTGAACAGAGGGGTTCCCGGGCGCTGCTCCTCGTTGAAGACGTGACCGCGACGGCGGGTCAGGACTCCGTAGACACCGCCCATGGCGTTCTCGGGAACCTGGATCTCGACCAGGTAGACGGGCTCGAGAAGGGCCGGCTCAGCCAGCAGGGTCGAGGCGTACAGGACGCGGCGGGCGGTGGGGATGATCTGACCACCACCACGGTGGATGGCGTCGGCGTGCAGGGTGACATCGAGGATGTTCCAGCGGACGGAGCGCATGGGCTCCTCGGCAACCGGACCCTCACGGGTAGCCCACTGGAAACCAGAGACGACGGAGTCCTTGATCTCGTTGAGGTACTGGACGGCCTTGGTCTGGTCGACGAGCAGGTTGGCGCCGTTACCGTCAGGGCCAAAGGTCCAGATCTTACGAGCGTCGGTGACGTCCCAGCCGTACTCGTCGGCGAGGGTACGGGCACGGGTCTTGAAGTCCTCGCGGGGAGAGATCTTGCCGCTCTCGATGGCGAGGGCCAGCTCCTCGTCCATGGGCTCGGCGGTCATCCAGATACGGTTGTGCTTGTTGGGCGACTTGGACAGGGCGGTCATGCTCGACTTGCCGCCAACAGTCTCGCGGTACTGGACGACGGGGTCCGAGATGGTGAGGGGAACACCGGCGTGGTCGTTCTGGAGGTCGTTGAGGCAGATCTCGAGGTGCAGCTCACCGGCGCCCGCGACAATGTGCTCGCCAGACTCCGAGGTCATGGTCAGGACGCAAGGGTCGGACTTGGAGAGACGCTTGAGACCCTCGACAAGCTTGGGCAGGTCCTGGGCGTTCTTGACAGCGACGGAGCGCTGGACGACGGGGGAGACGGAGAACTTCATGACCTTGAGGTTGTGGGCCGTCTCGAGGGTGGTGAGGGTACCAGACTTGAGGAGGAACTGGTCGATACCGACAAGACCGACAATGTTACCGGCAGGGAGGTCGTCAATGGGGTCGACCTTGCCGCCCATCATGAGAACGGTGCGCTGGATGGCCTTGATGAAGAGGTCGTCCTTCTTTCCAGGGATGTAGTTGGGGCCCTGGATGCGGACCTTGATACCCGACTTGACGGTACCCGAGAAGACACGGCCGAAAGCGTAGAAGCGGCCCTTGTCAGAGGTGGGGACCATCTTGGAGACGTAGAGCATGAGGGGACCCTTGGGGTCACAGTCACGGATACCGATGGCAGCCTGGTCGTCCATGGGACCCTCGTAGAGGGTCTCGACACGGTACCTCTGGGCAGTGACGGGCGAGGGGAGGTGGAGAATCATCATCTCCAGAAGAGCGTCGGCAGCGGGGAGGAAGGTGCGCATGACAACCTTGAGGAGCTGCTTGCCTTCCAACTGCCTGTCCTCGCTCGAGAGCTTGAGCTGGAGCTTGTCGAGGAGCTTGTCGATCTCGTCGTTCTTGAAGTTCATGATGGCGGCGAAGATCTTGAAGATGGGGTCGAGGATGAACTGGCTGAAGGCACGCTCGAGCTGCTTACCCTCGTGCTGGCCGGTCTTGGACCATTTCTTGGTGGCGGGGTTGAAGTAGTTGTCGCCCCAGAGACGCTCCATCATCTTGTTCTTGTCAACGCCAAACTTCTTGGCGTACTTGACAGCGAACTGGCGGATAGTGAAGCCCCAGCCGTGGAGGCCGGAGGCGAAAGCGACGGTACCGCGGTCGGGGTAGACCTGGACGTCACCAAGGCTCTTGTCAAAGTAGGTCGAGATGACGACGTTGACCGACTCAATGGTACGGGAGAAGGACTGGTAGAGGTCCTCCTTGGAGACCTGGAGCTCGAGGAGAGCACGGTCAACCTTGTTGATGACAACGACGGGCTTGATACGCTCGCCGAGAGCCTGACGGAGCACAGTCTCGGTCTGGACGCAGACACCCTCGACGGTGTCGACGACAACGAGGGCACCGTCGGTGACACGGAGGGCAGCAGTGACTTCGGAGGAGAAATCAACGTGACCGGGCGAGTCAATGAGGTTGATGAGGAACTCCCGGCCATCGGTCTTCTGGCCGACGATGTCCTTGATGTCATCTTCGGACTCGAGGGTGGAGTAGAGGGTGATGGCGGTAGACTTGATGGTAATACCACGCTCCTGCTCGTCGGCACGAGTGTCCATGCCACGGGCATCTCCAGCCTTGGCAGTGGAGATGATACCGGCCTTGGACAGGAGAGAGTCGGTCAGGGTCGACTTGCCGTGATCGACGTGGGCAATAACGGACATGTTGCGGACATTGCTGGGCTTGTCCATGAGCGCCCGCACCTCGTCGACCGTGAAACTATGATGGAGAGAGAGCCATGTCAGTCACTGTTCTGCTTCTTCTCCCTCTTCTTCTTCATGATGAGAAGTCTCTGAGTTGAGAGCTGCGTGGTTGTAGGTGTAATCTCTGGTGAAGAGGAATAGAGAGACACAGAGAGAGAGAGAGAGAGAGAGAGAGAGAGAGTCGTAATAGAAGTTCTGTGCAGTGAGAGACGACGTCTCGGATACGTGCGAGGGGCGAGAGAGAGGCAATGAGGGGAGAGAAAGCGGGGAGGAAGGACAGGAAGGTGATGCATCTCGATCTTGAGATGAAGACTGTGATGATGATATATATGGCATAGACTTACTTCACCATCTTGGCGGTATTTTTCTTTTGACCTGGCTCAAGTGCCTTTGGAGAGGAGTTGAGTGGTGTGAAGGGAAAGAAAAATTGGTGTTGAGATGGGTGGGTGGGATGTGTAGAAAGGGAAAGCGGGGTTGTGGTATTTTTTTTTTCTTTCTTCCCACTATGGGCCCCGCCTTAATAGGCAGTTGGCACGTAAATCTTGATAGCTGTCAGAAAGGACTCTATGATGAATCTCAATAGATCACTCAAGCTCGAGTATCTTGCTAGCCGATACAGAGGAGGGATTTTATTATACGAGTTGCTGTCGTGAAGGTAGATTATATTCATATGTTTGTTCTCTACATGGCCCTCCGTCAAGGTCGAGGTAGCCTTGTGGTGGCCGGAGAGAGTGTGGCTCTTGGCTGTGGAGGGGAGAATTGTCAGCCACCCACCCGACGAGACAAACTAAATTTTGTTTGTCGCTCACCGCGGGTGACTGCGCACCATTTTTTTTTTGCCCCTCCTCTTCCCTCCTCCCCGGAGTTTGCGTTAAAGGGTGATAGAAGTGTCACTGCCTCCGATGGATCCCACAACTTCTCTGTTTTACGAAATTCACCAGTGGAAACCTCGAAAGCGAGATTGGGATGTTTTCAGTCCGTCCCTCTTCTTCTCTATCTACTATTACCCGTAGCCGTAGCAAAAAACAAAAAAACAAAAAAACAAAAAATGAGGGGTCCGATCCGAATATGCAACCGCTCTCAGGCGAGCAGGTGGGGGGGGAGGGGGGAGAACAGCTCAGTTGCTAGCAGTACTGTGGGCATCATGCCACTTACCTCCTACGCCAGAAGAGCTCCGGCCCTTACTGCTGCAAGACAGGTAGTATGAAGGGAAAAAAGCCCACTTTAACTTCGAGCCATGTACAGATTGGGATTTCTTCATCCTACTATCATCGCCACTGAGGGAGGAGACTAATTGCTTCAAACCTTTGCTGACTTGGCCAACCATAGAGCTCCATCTGCTCGTCGTGGGGACTCACTTAGCAGGGCAAAAACCCTCACTGGAACCACCACCACTCACTCCCTCACTCTTTCGCTGCAAGATATCCTATCCGAAGGCACAATATTTGATGTTATTGCCTCGGCCGTCGGCGTGTACGACAATCTTGGCTTCGCCTCTTCTTCTTCTTCCCCTCTCCAGCAGAATAGAGAGTCAGGCACTTGTAATAAGTACTTTTTTTTCATGATGCCTTGCTGGTTCGCCGGTGAATGATAAACGAGATTCCTCGCCGAAAGCTGTTGCTTCTGATGGTGACTCACTTGCCACTGTGAAATCGGCGAGACGAGAACGGTAAAGCGTCACTGTCAGCGGAGTTGTGACCAATCAGCTGCGTCGGGGAGCTACCATCATTGGCTTGGAATTAGGGGACCTTAGGAGCGGATCTCTGCTAAGTCACTGAAGAGAACTGTGGCTTTGCGATGTCGGGTAACCAGCCTCATCTCGGGATCAGCGAGGTCGTGGCTGGTATGGTACTTTCATAGTAATACTAACACCGCCTTTATCTATGGCTGCGATAACAAAAAAAAAAAAAAAAAAAAAAAAGGGATTGATTCACCGATTGATACTTGTTGGGGGGGGAAACAGAGGTTTCCAATTGAGAAACGAAACAAGAGCATTGGCTTTTGTTCCCCCCGTCACCGTAGGAGTGCAGACACGTATACATACTATCGTTGTTGACCCCCCCCCCCCTTTCTGGCAATCATGCGCTTCTCAACTCTGCGGGCGACCTTGAACGGTGTCCAGAAGCGCGCCTACTCATCGGCATCGTCATCGTCATCGCTCCAAGCTCCCAGGCATCTGCTCTCCATCAGCGACCTTGCCCCCGCCGAATTCACCTCGCTGGTTCGCAATGCCGCCTCGCGCAAGCAGGCCGTCAAGGCCGGCCAGACGCCCGGCTCTCTGGCTGCCGGACTTGCCAACCAGACTATCGCCATGATGTTTAGCAAGCGTAGCACCAGGACCCGCGTGTCGACCGAGGCTGCCGTGACTCTTCTCGGTGGACACCCGATGTTCCTCGGCAAGGATGACATCCAGCTAGGCGTGAGTCGAACCGCCCGCTTTATAACAGATGCCTTGCTTCTTCCCGGGCAGAGTGCGGACAGCTAAACACACAGCCGTGCGCGACACACAAGCAGGTCAACGAGTCTCTTCTCGACACATCACGCGTCATCTCGTCCATGACGTCTTGCATGGTCGCCCGTGTCGGCCCTCACTCCGATGTGGCCGGCCTGGCCGAGCATTCTACCGTCCCCGTCATCAACGCCCTATCCGACGACTTCCACCCTCTCCAGACCATTGCCGACTTCCTCACCATCCACGAGGCCTTCCCTCCGTCGTCGCCGTCATCGCCGTCCTCATCCGCCTCTGGGGATCTGGGCCTCCAGGGGCTCAAGGTCGCCTGGATCGGAGACTCCAACAATGTCCTCTTCGACCTGGCTACGGGCTGCGTCAAGATGGGCGTCGACATCTCCGTCGCCTCCCCCAGGGGGTACGGCATCCCCGACTCCATGCGCCACCTCATCACCTCTTCGGCTCAGGGCGTCTCTAGCCCCGGTAAGCTGTTCGAGACGACAGTCCCCGAAGAGGCCATCAAGGACGCCGACATCCTCGTCACCGACACCTGGATCTCCATGGGGCAGGAGAGCGAGAAGAATAAGCGCCTCGACGCCTTCGCCGGATACCAGATCACCAATGACCTAGCCAAGAGGGGCGGCGCCAAGGACGGGTGGAAGTTTATGCATTGTCTGCCCCGGCACCAGGAGGAGGTGGCCGACGAGGTCTTCTACAGCCCGCGATCCCTCGTCTTTCCCGAGGCCGAGAACCGTCTCTGGGCTGCTGTTTGTGAGTTTTTTTTTTAGGTTTTTTTTTCGCCTGTGGTCTTTCTCTACCTCTTCGCCTTCCCAACTCTCTTCTATCCAAAACTCATTCTAATCATGTTGTCATAGCTGCTCTCGAGGGCTTCGTCGTGAACAAGGGAAAGCTGTAGAGAATCATTTCATGACCGATAACGGCGTTGCCAATATGTGAGTTATCAGTACCAAAAAAATGGGGAAGGGAAAGAAATTTACAAAGGCGTGTGGTTTTGAATACAGACATCGTAATTGGTCCTTTACAGACGCAAAAGAAATCTACATCTAAGTAATGGATGAAAAAAAAAAAAAAGCAGATGTCCGAATTGTAGTATTTGCGGTATAGGGTAGAAAATACATTCGAAGCTATCAGTAGCCCTTCCCCTGTCCTCCAAAACGCTTCAACAAACATCCACTTACGCCTGTAGGTCTGAAAGATCATGGGGGAGGCCAATGCGCATACAGAGTGTAGCAGCGACATCTAACCGGGGGGCAGGGAGCTGACGTCGACAGCCTCGTCGGCCTCCTTGATCATGGCCCCCTCGTTGATGCCCTTGAGAGGCGAACGGGGAAGGACCATGAGACCGGTGCGGGCGGACTCGAGGATGCCAAAGGGGGCGATGAGCTTGAGGAAGGAGTCGATCCTAGACTGCTTGGCAGAGCTGTCGTGGAGGAGTTGCGGTGTCAGTGATTGGTTCCAGAAGAAGGGGAGTTGGTCGATTGGATAGGAGGAGAAGGAGAAGAATGCACAGAGAGGGGAGAGAGAAAAGGGGGGGGGGGGGGGGGGGGGGTAATGTAAGAGAGGGTCTCACATCTCGACAATGCAGCTCGTGTTGCTAATATCGAGCACCTTGCCTCCGAACTGATGGGCAAAGTAGGTGATGGACTTGAGGTGCTCGTGCTTGTGGCGGAGAGCCTCGCTGGCGGCCAGCTTGCTAGGGTGGAAGTCGACGGACGTCTCCTCAAGGGTCGGCTGCCTCTCGTTTCCGCCCTCGGCAGCGTACTCTGCGGTGTCGATGTCCGCCTCGGGGCTGGTGGTGATCTCGCGGTGGTGCTCGAGGAGCTCCTCAAAGTACTCGGGGCCGAGGATGTTGACCTTGGCCAGGAGGAGCTCGCGCTGGACGAGCGGGGCGTTCGTGTAGTCGAGGACGGCCCAGACGGGGACGAGGTCCTCGAGCTGGCGGCGGGCCTGCTCGACGACGCCGTCGTGACCCGTCAGGACGATGGTCATGCGCGACAGGTCCTCGACCTCGGTGCTGCAGACGACGAGGGACTCGATGTTGAAGCCGCGGGCGGCGATGATGCCCGACAGGCGGGACAGCACGCCCGGCTCGTTCTGCACGAGGCAGTTGAGGATGTGACGCTTCGGGGGGGCCGTCTCCGGTACCGGAGTCTCGTACAGGATGTTGGACACGGCCGCCTGGGTCGACCACGCCGGCGGGTTGCTCGTCTTCGGAAGAGGCGCGGAGCGGCGGCGGAGGGCCTTGTAGGCAATCGCAGAGGTCGAGCTGCTCGTCGACGAGGAGCAGCGCACCGCAAGCGGAGTCACCGACGTCCTAGCCGAGGAGGCGGCCCTGGCGGTTGCCCACTGCCGAAGAGGCGTGATGGACGAGGGTCGGAACGACGACATCTTGATGGTGTCGGAGACAAAAAGAGACTTTTTTTTACACTAGTCGTCACCTTTTTTTCCTCTCCAATACCAATTGAGTCGTTGGGGGTCGGGGTGGATGGACTGGGCTCTCCTCAAACCAACAAAAAAGTTTGGGGCATGGGATGTGAGGGTTTGATAGTCACAATTTGGAGCCTCCCCCCC